TGGTAGGAAGAAGAGGAATTGAGAATTTGTGTTTTGGTTGCCATTTTCACAGCATCTTCTCACAGTGTATGTGTGTGTATGTATTCCAGTGTGGCAATTGAACCTAGTGCCTGCACATGTTAGGCAAGTGCTCTACCACTGGTCTAATTATCCAAGCCCCTAAATAGCCCATTTAAAATAAAAGTTTTTGTTAGCTGAAAAACTTATTTAAATCATAACACATTTCATACATAATTTCCTTTATGTTTATAGCAATACTGGGGTTTGAACTCAAGGCCTTGCACTTGTTAGGCAAACACTCTGCCACTTGAGCTACATTCACTACCTTTTTGCTTCAGTTAATTTTTTAGGTAAGGTCTCATGATTCTGCCTGGGCAGACCTTGGACCATGATCCTCTTACATCTGCCTCCTGAGTAGCTGGGATTATAGATGTGTGCCACCACACCTAGGTAGTATATTTTCTTTGTGAGTCTGCTATCTTTTGTTAATAGTATGTGAGATTTTTATTGCTCTCATATTTCATTGCTTGTCTACTCTTGGTGGCTATTTTCATTTGGAGCTATTATAAACAATTCTGTGAATAACTGTTGTATGTCTTTGGATATACCTATGTATGCTTTTATTTTTGGTATATAACCATTAGTAGAGTTGTTGAGTCATAGGGTTTCAGTGTATTCATCTTAAAAATGCAAAACATTTGCACAAATTGCATGCTAACAATTTAAATTCCCACCAGCACAGCAGTATTTAGGTCTTCCTTTACCTCATATTGTTAGTTGTTTGTTTTATTGTCATTCTGTACTGAACACATAATAGGGATGTCTTTTTATGGTTTTGATGTTCATTTCCAAGAAATGTTGAATACATTTTCATGTGCTTGTTGTCCATTTGGATATTACTTTTGTAAATTCTGAATAGATTATTTCTCTATTTTTTAAAATTTGGAAATTTAAATTTTCTTAGTGATTTGTAGTTTTTTATATATTTTGGATGTAGTCCTTTATTGGTTATATGAATTGCAGGTATCTTTTTCCACTGCATGGCTTGCCGTTTTTCATTAATGGTGTCTTACTAATAAACTTTACTTTGCCAGTCTTTTCTTTTATGGTTAATGCTTTTGTGTCCTGTTTAAGAAATCTTTGCTAATTTCTACATTATAATGATTCTGTGTTAGGCTATCTTCTAGAAGACTTTTTTTCCACACTTGCATTTATAATCCACCTGGGATTATTTTTATGTAAAGACAGGATTCATTTTTCTGTATGGACATTATATTGATCTGTCATCAATTATTGAAAATAACATCATACTATTTAAAACAATGTAATAATATGTTTGTCTTAAAGAAGGTGATTATATATGTATAAATCTGATTCTGGATTCATTATTTAACTATTCCATTGGTCTTTTGTATATGCTGTGTCAATCCCTCTTTGTTTTAATTACTTTTGTTCTATATTAACTCTTGATATCAAGTAAGATATCATTCTTTGTCATTTTTCTGTATTCCTATACCTTTCCATTTCCATGTAAACTTCAGAGTCCCTTAATATTTGGATCATTTCAAAGAGAGTTTGGGACTGTGAAACCAAGAGCACTCAATGCTGTGAACAAAGATTGAAGTTCCCCACCAAATGCCATAGTTACTTAATAGTGCTATATTTTTCTAAGGATTTATAATGTTTTAGCCACTCACAAATGTGACATAATCCATGATTGGTGATGTGACCAAGCAAATGAATATCTCACAGTCTAAAAAGAACCGCTTTCTGTTTATGGTGATGGAAACAAAGCCTAATGTGTAAACATAATGTTTCCAAACAGTCAAAAATAAAACCAAGACCTCTCAGTTTAAATGGTTTTAATCAGCATAATGTATGAATGCTACATGATTTATTTTGTTTACAACAGTCTCATAGAGATTATTTTCCAACATCCTGCCAGCCATCTTTTTGTTCATTAGACTTCAAATTCATCATTATTAGTTAAGGAAGCCACAGTAGAATTCCACTCAAGGAAAGTACCATCTTTGTTTAGGGACATATCTTAATTGAGGGTATTTAGTTATGAAGATAAGATACCCTTCTCATTGCCTGGATAGTCATGAATGAGACAAAATAATAGGTAAGATAATTGGTATGAGAATTTAAGAGGAGTTTTGATAGTTCTGAGGAAATAAACTAGACAGAGGAGAGGCAGGGAATAACACCCAGCAACATGGTAAGAGACTAGAATTTAGAAGACAGTATAACTTGGGAATCAAAAGCTTCAATTTTAGAGCCAGATTGCTTAGTTTAGCTAGTTACTAAATATATGAATTTGAGGGAGTTATCCTTTCTATACTTTCCTTATTCATACAGTGGGAATAAGAATGCCTACATCTAAGATGCACTAAGGTCAGCTGTGATGATTAAATGAATTATCATATGTAAAATACTTAGAAATAGCACCTGGCATATTGTCTATCCAGATGTGATAGCTATTACTATAATTGATAAAAGTCATAATCTAAGTTTTCCTGTGCCTAGACATAACCCCATCCCTCTCAATGCACAATAGCAAAATCTAATTGTGTAGAGAATTATACCCTATACTTGGTAAGGAAATAGCCCAAAGACTGGAAATTCAGTGTAATCCAGAAATTGATGTAACTTTTTTTTTTCTTTTTGATGCTGGGGATTAAACCCAGGGCTTTACTCTACTACTGAACTATATACCCAGCCTTGAAGTAACACTTAAGAATCCTCAGAAATAACAGGTTGGATCTGTGTAATAAGAGTTACCCAATTTGCCACATTTTAAAGGACAAAGTGATTCTACCAGTTTCAGGGTTTCTAGCCTCAATATAATTGATTTTGGATAGTTGAATATTCCTTTGTTGTGGAGAGGTAGCCTTGTCTTGTAGAGGGTTTAACCTCATCCTGACCTCTATTAGATGCCACTAGTAGCAACCCCTTCCCTGAGTTGTGACAACCATTATGGCTTCAGGTGTTTCATAGGGAGTAAGATTGTCCCTTGTTGAGAACCATTGCATTCTTTAAAAGAAATTTCCCCTGCACAGTATTTTCCCCCAAAAGTTCACTGAAGTAGAAAATAAAATAGTGGACTGCTATATCCCCATTCCCAGGTTCAGTACTTGAATACAGCAACTTTGTTTTATCTATACTTATCCATTTTTTTCTGTAGTAACTTCAATAAAACCTAGTCATTGTATTCTTTCTTCTATATATAAATAAATGTCTATGTATAACATATGAATTTATGGACTTCTTTTGGGAGAGGGAGGGGATACTGGGAATGGAACACAGGACCTGTGGATCTGTTTGAATAGAGATTTAAGGGACTTGTTTTGAAGATGTATTTGCATAGACAGCGGAGCTCTTTTCTGAAAGTTTGTGTTAGACTATCCTAGTTGGGCAGAGATGGAGGGATGAGAAACTGATAGAAAATACAGAGGTTATATAGCCCCATGGTGCTTTCCTTTGGGAAAAGGAAATACGCCAACATCAAGCATATTCTATTCTCTGATTGAAAATAAAAATTTATAAAAATTAGTTTATTATTGAAAAAACATAAAAATTTTTATGCATATAGAAGCTGATTTATTTAGTCACTTAAGATTTATTGAACATCTATTATATGCCAGGCAGTACACTGTACACTTTGGATAGAGTAGTGAAAGGGACAAGCAATGTCCATTTGCTTATTGAGCTTATGTTCTACATGTGGAGAAAGTTGATAAAACAAGGCAATTAGTAAATAAATAAGATGATTATAGATTATGGTAACTGATATGAAAAACAAACAGGGTGATGTGAAAATTAAGAAAAGATCTAAAAAAAGGAGAAGGAAGATTGAGATAAAAAGCAATTTCAGTAAGTTTTAGAAACACAATAATAGAATACTAATATATTTTTAAAATAATTATAAGCTGGGTGTGGTGGCACACACCTGTAATCCCAGGATTTAGGAGGATCACAAGTTTGAAGCCAGTCTGGGCTACAAAGTGAAACTCTGGCTCAAAAAAAAAAAATGTTGTATAGAAAGAGTCAGCAGGGTTAAAATATATTCAGTTTGGCAGCCATTCAAAAATTACCAGGCATGAATAAAAGCAGAAAAATGCTTCTATAATGAGGAATAAAATCAATCAATTAAAGTCAACCCAAAAATTATCTGGGTGATAGAATTAGTAGACAAGCAATAAAACAGTTATAACTTTAGTCTGGGTTTAAGAATTAAGGAAATATTTGTATAGTAAAGAAAATATAAAAGTGATCTTAGGTGAACTTCAGGATAAAAATTGCAGTATCAGAGATTTAAACAAAATACAGTAGTGGGCAGAGTTAACATTAAATTAGATGTTGCAGAAGAAAAGATTAATGAACTTGAAAACATAGCAATTGAAACTACCAAAAGTGAAACACACAGAGAAAAAAGAGTGGAAAAGTGAATTGTGGGAGCACCTTAAGAAGCTAGTAAGTTTGTAATAGCAGTCCCAGAAGGAGGAGGATAGAGAAAGAGCAACTAAAAAATTTGTTTTGTTTATGTATACATAATGGTGCATAATAATGTTTGATCTGCAACAAACTGGATATACAGTGATTGTCCCATATGGCTGTAATATAGGTTAGCTTGTAATAACCACCTAGGTTTGTGTAAGTGCACTTGGTGATATTTGCGTAGTGACAAAATCATTTAACAATGTGTTTCTCAGAATGTATTCCCAACGTGAAGAGATGCAAGACTGCATGTATGTGTCTACACACATATATGATTTTTGAAGAATATACAAAACAACTGGCCTATAATCCTCAAAAGTGCCAAGTTCAAGAAAGTTAAGACTAAAGAACTGTTGCAGATTAAAAGAGGATAATCAGCTTATAATTTTGGATTCAGAATGGGAAAACTAAAGAAATGACCAAACTGAATGTAAGAACAGTCCAGCACTAGACCATTTTATTTTGAAAGATTCATGTTTTGCAACGCCTTCTTGTTATAGGTGATGGTGAACAGGAACTCGGTCCCCCTCCATCTGTAGATGAGGCTGCAAACACACTCATGACGCGTCTGGGTTTTCTCCTTGGAGAGAAAGTCACAGAAGTTCAGCCAGGTGACCAATACAGCATGGAGGTACAGGATGAAAATCAGGTAAACTGCTTGCTATCAACTTTGTGAAATGCAGTGTGAATCAGCTTATTATGCCAGGAAAAAAACATGATGTGTTTGTACATGTGTATTCATTCTAAAAGGAATAATCCAATTGTTAAATGCTGTCTGAGTCTTGAAATATAACTTAAATTTCCATAAGCACTATATTTCTTCAACCATCTTTTAGTTTATTCTTAGATTTAAAAACCCAAAAAGAATGATAAGTAAACAAGTCAGCCACCCAAAAGCATTGATATATGAGAACTACACCCAGAAATTACAGAATACACACTATTTTAAAGTGCATGTGGTTTATTTACCAAACTGATGATATGCAGAGCCATAGGACAGTTTTCAACAAATTTCAAAAGACACCAGTTACTTTGAGCACAGTAGAATTAATTATAAAATGATAGCTAAAAGTTAAATTTTAAAATCTCCAAATGCTGAGATATTAAGTAATATGCTTCTAAATAGTCTTCAAGTCCAAGAAATCACAAGAAATTTAAAAATATTTTAAGCTGCAATAATGAAAATTAAAGATAATAAAATTTGTAGGATATAATTAAAGATTTGATCAAAAAGAAATTTCAGTTTTGAACGCATATATAATATTATATATTATTATATATTATTTCATTTTGTTTTGTTTTGTGGTTTTTTTTTTTTTTGCTGGCGGCACATTGTAATCATCTGGGAAAATTCAGATGCCCAGTCACTCTGATCTTGCTGAATCTCCTCCATTCTTATTTCTGTAAATACTATCTTAACTCCTGAGCTGTCTTAATCCTGCCTTTTCCCTTATCTGTAGGTCTGTGTAATCACGTGCCTACGTTATATTTTCCACCTACATGTTTAAGGTACATCTCACATTTAATATGTCAAAAACTTCACCCTTACACTTTCCCCCAGAAGCTGCTCATTCCAAAGAGTGTCCCAGCTGAGTTAATGGTATCACCTACTTGCTTAGGACAAAAGCATTGGACCTGTTCTTGACTCTGACATGACCAACATTCACATTTATAGAAAATCATGGGCTCTGTCTTCAAAATATATACTAAATCTGATTTCTTCTTACTACTTCCACTGCTACCCCCGAGTCCAAGTCCCTGTCATCTTTTGCCTGGGCTACCACATATCTATAAGAATGTTAAACAAGAATGTCTGAAGTTTTTGCCTGTTCTATTCAATGCTAAATCCTCAGGACCTAAAACAGTGTCTGCCATTAGCTATGTCTATAGTCATCCTAAAGAAACATTTTTATTTTGGTAGTAAATATAGTATGTTTGGGTTTAACTTCCACATTGGCCATTTTATGTGTGTAATACAACATCCTTTCATAAAGAACCAGGATCAGACTCTCGTCTAAGAATAGAAATAGTTACAAATGTATTAGATTCATACCAAAATAAAAATGTTTCCTTGGGATGCCTACAGATATATCTAATATAAAAGATCTGAGTACAATTCACTTCGTATACCTACGTTTCTTAAATTGGACATGGGAAGGTTAAAAGCACATGCTGAATTTCTCAGTTGAGGGTTCCAAGTTAGTAAGTCTGGGATGTGCTCAGTGTCTTCAGTTTTTTATAGCTTGCTTATTTGTTTTTTTTTTTACATCCCACAGGTGGTTCTACTGTATGTATAGATAAGAACCATTGCTCTGATAAATCACCGTCATGTAGAGAGGATTTCAAAGGAATTGAAATTCCTCTTTCCTCTACAGTGATATTATACAGTTGAAGAAATTTGCTACTATTATTAGTAGTAGATTTGAGGGTTTATGTTAAGAAAAAGTAGTTCCTAATATTATTGATATGGCTGACAGAGTTTATTTGATTAAAGGGCCATGAGACTCTTATTACTTGTGCTTAGTTGAGTCAAATGTCTTTTTATGACCTGGATGTATTATTTAAATTAAAATCAGAACCCAGATTGAGCCCAGTACAGTGGCTTACTTCTGTAATCCCAGCTATGCAGGAGACTGAAATTGGAAAGATCATGGTTCAAGGCCAGCTGGGCAAAAAGTTAATGCAACCCCATCTAAATCAGTAAGCCAAGTGTAACAGTACATGCCTGTCATTCCTGCCCTGCAGGAGGCCATAGGTAGTTAGGCTGGCCCTGGGCAAAAACATGAGCCCCTAACTGAAACATAGGTAAAGCAGAAAAAGGAAAAGGAGGCTAGGAGCATTGCCCAAGTGATAGAACATCTGTGTAGCGAGCACAAGATCCTGAGTTCAAACCCCAGAATTGAACACAGATGATTAATTTCAAGGGATTGTATCTGGAAACTATCATAGAATGAGTTGAAGATTCTTAATATTCTCATAGTGAATAATCAACACATTCACTGATTATCAAATGTAAACCCTCCATTTTAGCAAAGAGAATATGAATAGAGGCTCTGTATGTAAAGAAATTAAAAGACTTCTTTTTTAAATTTAGTATTTACACATGTTAAATTTGCCATAGGTGCTGCTTGAAATATTTTTATCCTTGATCACTTAATTATTTTGGAAAGGATAAAATTTGAGTATTTGACAAAAACATACTTTTACTCAATGATTTCAATGATTTATTTGGGTAGTAAAAGCTGCAGAAAAGTGAATTGTTGACCAGGTCTGGTGGCTCATGCCTGTAATACCAGCTATCCAGGAGACGAAGATCAAGAGGATACCAGTTGAATGCCAGCCCCAGCAAAAGTTAGTGAGACCCTATCTCAAGAAACAACCCAGTTATGGTGTGACACATCTATAATCCCAACCATGTGGGAGGCATAGGCAGGAGGATCATCATCCCAGGCTAGCACAGAGCAAAAAGTGTGAGACCTTATCTAAAAAATAACTAAAGCGAAAAAGGAGTGGGGATGTGGCTCAAGTAGTAAAGCGTAGTCCCCTGAGTTCAAACCCCGGTACCAAAAAAAAAAAAAAAAGTGATCTGTCATTAAATTAGTTAAACGAAATATATTACTGCCAGTTTTAGGTAATTATTAATCCGTTTGCATCAAAAAAATTATAAGTGAGATAGTTTCAGGTAAAGGAATTATTCAGATAATACAAATTATCTTAGTGTTTGACCACTTTCTACAAAGTGTTTTGTGTCAACATTGACCAATTAGGCAAACTTTTAGAGTAACTAATTTTCCATGCATTCATTTATTATCTCTAGGTCACTCCCTTTGTATCAAAAAGACATTTCTCTTCATTAAGAATTTTATTTTTATTTTTCTTCTTCTGCAGAGGTATTATTTCTTTTTCTGTCCAAAGAAAATTAAGACAAAGTTCTAAGCCTTCTGAAAAGTCTTGAGTAGACTAGCAAATTGTGCTTCCTAAGAAGTTTCTGTATTCCATTAGTGAACAGTAATGTAAAGTACTTGTAACTTGTGACTAAGCAGAAAAAGTGGATACAAGTCTTTGCTAATGTCAGCTTCATCAGTTTTCACCTTAATTATCATAGAAAGCAAAAGCAAGTAAAGCCTAGTGTGATGTAAAAGGCTTGCATGTAGATGGTTTCTTCTTCTTTCGTCTAGGTGTTATTTTCCTATAAGATATACTTTACTTAACAACTCTCTTCTAATTTTTCAGACCTCAGCAATCACCCAGCGGATAAGTCCCTGTTCTACCCTGACTAGCAGCACTGCCTCTCCACCAGCCAGTAGCCCTTGCTCTACCCTCCCACCAGTCAGTACAAATGCAACTGCCAAGGACGGCAGCTATGGGGCTGTTACCAGCCCAACCTCCACCCTTGAAAGCAGAGACAGTGGTATCATTGGTAAGTTGATTTATATATTAATCATTTTGTCCCTTTTTCTTTTTAAAAGTAATTATACCAGCTTAAATTTTAAAAAATATATTTTGATATATGTATGTGTGTGTGTGTGTGTGTGTGTGTGTATGTATAAGGACAAGGACAACTTTCCTTGTCCTTTATAATGATACTGGTCAACAAAATGAAAAGTCCCTCCTTGCTGAATTAGTCCTTACCAGGGTATTGATGAAAAGGAGTTGATAGAAAAAAATTCTGCACACTTATTTCTGCCAATTCCTATATGTCATCTCTCTACCAACAGAAGTAGTCCAGAAAATGTGCATTTATCGTTGGTATAGTCAATAGAGAGTTCTGTGGAAACAGAGAGATGAAACTAAGATTAAAGGGATAAGGCTGGGGCATAGTTCAAATAGTAGAGTGCTTGCCTAGAAAACTTGAGGACCTGGGTTTAATGCACCATACCCTGGGGATGGGGGACATTAAATGGCTAAAGAGCTACAATTTGAGTTATTATGGGCTCTGTCTGCTCAAACCATCTATCAGTCCTTGGATGAGTTTGGGAGGCCCTTCAGAATTGGTTTTTATTCTCAATAAGAGAGTCTCTCTGTTTTGCCCTGTACAAGGTAGAGAATGTTCTTTCTTGCTTACGACTCAGGAACCTTACTCCAGTGTTTTTATGGTAAGCTTGGGCATGAAGAAAACTCGAAAGTTAGAACTAAGCAAAAATATCTGCCATTTTATTTCTCTCTTGTGAATTTTCTAGTATCTTTTTTTTAATAGAAGATCCTAGTCAACTACATGATCCTAGAAATATATCTAAATTATCTTCAACTCAATTATTATCAGTTTCTAACAGATACAAAAACAAACTTTGATAAATAATACTCTGATAGAAATTATTTATTACCTCCCATTAACTGGAGTAAAATATTTTATCAGAGCCCGATGTGGACTACTGTAGGCACATTTATGTTTAGAACATTATGATTTATTTGTATTGTTATGATTCAAGACATTATTATGACTATCATATACAGTATTCCTAGCTCTGGAAATCCTTCATCATATCCATAATTTTCTGTAATATTTCTTAGAATGCTTTTTGATTTGGCTAGAAAGCATCAAGGTACTGTTGTTAATTCCTTGACACTATCTGGTTTAATCCTTGTTCTTATAATCAGGTATGGAGAGAGTAAGAGTAGGGGAGAGCTTCTAAGAATATAGATTAGAAGTTTCCTCCATGCTACTCCATGAATGAAAAGAGGGTAACAAAGGAGTGTATTCCAAGGAAAGAAATAAGGAACAGCATTGGAAATCAAGGACACAGCTAAAAAGCACAGAGAAACAGAAAAGTGATGCAGAGAAAAGTAGCAAATAGTGTGCATCTTCAGCCCAGCCTGTGTGAACAGGTGGCAGAGAGTGTGGTGGTAAAGATCTGAAGTATCAGCTACAAGCTAAGCCAAGCAACCCTGGTGACAACAGACTGGGATCTTAGCTGCAGGACAAACCTATAGTTCTTGTAAGCCTTAAATCTGGGATTTGGTCTGACAGTGACTCTTCCTATAAAACAAGCCAGCATTAGAGAAGAAATGCATATTGTCACTCCCTAAATCTTACAGTGCTATAACAAGGTACCACCTTGAGGAGGGTGGGGGCAAGGCCTGTTTTTTAATACTGAATTACTGTAAGGACCTGAAAAAAAAAAAAAGACAATCACAAATCAGGGAGCCTGGGGATACCCTGCCACAATGTCTGGGTGGGAGACTTCTACAAGAGGCAGTCATGGAGAGGAGCAGGTTGAACACAAACACAGTGAGAAATTTAAGAAGCAGGGCTCTTGGGCTATGGAAGGTGCCATAATCAGTGGTCCTGTCCTCTGTGGCAAGAAGTGAGCCACATCACCTATGGATCTGTGGAGACTGAGAGCTCCGAACCCAAATACAATAATTTGCTTGATTTCCCTAGCATTGTCCCTCCTGCAGGATGGTTCACTGTTGGTTGAGGACTGAAAGCACAGAGAGCTGCAAGAAGATGCCCAGTTCCCTTTGTTCTCCTTGTCCCGTGTAGATCTTTGTCCTCTGTTTGCTTCTTCATTTTCTGATACACTCGGGGATACCCCTCTGCTTGGATGTTTGCTGCCCTTACATGTACAAACTGTGAGGTGCTTCTAGTGAGTGGTAATCTGCCAGCCCATAAGCTATAAAAACTCACTGGGGCCAGCAGCAGCTCCCACTGTGTGAAGAAAGGAAGCTTCTATGGGTATTGAGGGGGGGAGCGGGAGGGGGTGGAGTGGGTGGTAAGGGAGGGGGTGGGGGCAGGGGGGAGAAATAAACCAAGCCTTGTATGCACATATGAATAATAAAAGAAAAATGAAAAAAAAAATAAAAGGATTATAAAAATAGAAGTTTGAAAAAACTCTTAAAAAAAAAAAAAAAAAAAGAAAGGAAGCTTCTACAATGAATGTTGCAATGACATTGATAACCCTGGACCCTTCAACGTTCCAGTCCTCAGCCCACCTGTAACAACATCCTATACAGTGAGAATGGAGAGGAACTATAGTAGACTCCAGCTACGACTCACTGCCCTTGCAACCCCCAGACCTCATAGATTCCAATATTAGAGAACCTAGAAAGATGCTGTTCCAATTCCTTGTCTTTTGTTTTAATATTTTTTCTTTTCATTGCATTTGTTTTATTTTAATCTTTTTATGTTTCTATTTTTTATTCCTCTTCTTAAACTTTATCTGATTTTATTTACGTGTTTTTCATTATTTTGTGATTGGATGCTTTTATCCCTTCCTTTCTCCTGTTTGCCTTTTTCTTTTATTTAACCTTGCTTCTTTCTTTTTCCATTTCCATGTCCCCCCTTTATTTCATTATTATTATTTTTTCCATCTTTGAGTGCATATATTAAAAGGACAGAAAGATCTCAAATAAATGACCTTACATCTCAGACTCCTAGATAAACAAGAACAAACAAAACCCAAAACAACCAGGAGAGAAATAATAAAAATAAGTGCTGAAATTAATGAAATAGAGACCAAAAAAGCCATACAAAGAATTAATGAAACAAAAAGCTCATTTTTTGAAAATATAAACAAGATTTGCAAGCCCCTGACAAATCTGACTAAAATGAGGAGGGAAAAGACCCAAATTAATAAAATCAGAAACACAAAAGTGGGGATAACAACAAAACACCGAGGAAATCCAGGGAATCATCAGGGACTACTTTGAGAACCTATAGTCCAATAAATTGGAGACTATTGAAGAAATGGACACATTTCTAGATATTTAATGACCTTCCAAAACTGAACCAAGAGGATATCAACCACCTAAACAGATCTATAATACATAATGAAATTAAAGCAGCAAAGAGTCTCCCAAAAAAAGAAAAGTCCAAGATCTGATGGATTCTCCCCTGAATTATACCAGACCTTTAAAGAAGAACTGTTAACCAATACTCCTTAAACTTTCCCACAAAATCAAAGGGGAAGGAACACTGCCTAACTTATTCTATAAAGTCAATATTACACTCATCCCAAAACTGACAAGGACACATCCAAAAAGGAAAACTACAGGCCATTCTCTGTAGTAAACATTGATGCAAAAATCCTCAATAAAATAATGGCAAACTGAAAACAACAATTTATCAGAAAGATCATTCACCACGACCAAGTTGGCTTCATCCCAGGGATGCAGTGATGGTTCAACATCACAAACCAATAAATGTAATACAGCACATTAATGGAAACAATGACAAAAACCACTTGATCATCTCAATAGATGCAGAAGAAGCCTTCAATAAGATTCAACACCATTTCATGATAAAAACTCTTTAAGAATCTTCAGAACTATTAAACTATTCCTTTATAAAGGCTATATATGATAAACCTATAGCCAACATCATACTGAATGGGGAAAAACTGAAACTATTTTCCCTAAAGTTAGGAACAAGACAAGGGTGCCTACTCTCCCCACTCCTATCCAACATAGTCCTGGAATTCCTAGCCAGAGCAATAAGGCAAGAAAAAGAAATAAAAGGAATATAAATAGGTAAAGAAGTAGTCAGAGTATTCCTATCTACAGATGACGTGAGGTATAGACCTCAAAGACTCAAAATCTCCTAGACACCATAAACAACTTCAGCAGGGTAACAGGATACGAAATGAACTTACAAAAATCAATAGCCTTTCTATACACCAATGAACAGATTGAGAAAGAATGTAAGAAAACAGTTTCATTTACAATGCCTCAAAAAAAAAATCAAATACCTAGGAATAAATTTAACAAAAGATGTAAATGAACTGTACAAGAAGAACTACAAACCACTGAAAAAAAGAGATCAAACAAGACTACAGAAGAAGGAAAAATCTCCCTGCTCATGGATTGGCAGAATCCATGAAGCCAGCATAGTTAAAATGGCTATATTACCAAAAGCAATCTACCTGTTCAGCGCAATTCCCATCAAAATTCCAATTACATTCAGCACAGAGATTGAAAAGTCTGCCAGAAAGTTTACTTGGAAACACAAAAGACCATGAATAGCCAAGGTAGTACTGAGCAAAAAGAGCAACTCTGGAGTTATCACAATACCCCACTTCAAACTATACTGCAGAGCCATAGCAATAAAAACAGCATGGTACTGGCACAGAAACAGATATGAAGACCAGTAGAACAGAATAGGGAACCTGGGTATGAATCCACACATCTATGCCCACCTTATTTTTGACAAAGGCATCAAAAACATGTGATGGAGAAAAGATAGTCTCTTCAACAAATGTTGCTGGGAAAAGTGGTTATCTATTGCAGAAAACTGAAACTAGACCCATGCCTGTCACCCTGTACTAGTATCAACTCAAAGTGGATTTAGGAGCTTTATATCAGACCCGAAACCTTGTAGTTAGTATAGGAAAGAACAAGGAATACCCTGGAAGCAGTAGGTATAGGCAAGGACTTCCTCATAGAATTCATGCAGCCCAGCAACTAAGAGAAAGAATGGACAAA